CCCACATTTGGCTGTTAAGTTAGTTCATATGTGCTCTGTCTAACCAGCTGGTCAATAACTGCATTGTTATGCCTTAATATAATGTTTAATTTTTAAATTTCAGGATATACTCAATTGCAGAAGTTTTCTGTGTGGTTACTCATTCACTACTCTACATTCTGAACTGTGTAGAGAGAGAAAGAGAGAAATGGGGTTTAACGTCCACTTGACACAAACTAGGTCTTTCGGGACTAACATATGGTTTAATTTTTTTATTTCAATAATTCGCTTGCGCGTAGGGGTCTTTAGCAGTGGGAGGAAACCGGAGGATCTGGAGAAGACCCACGAGGTTGGACAGACGACCCTACTCCTTGTCATGTACAACCAGAGAATCGAAACCCCACCAGTTGACTCAATGACAGACCGTATGATACAGCGCACGCGTGCTAACCATTCGCGTGCTAACCCCCCCCCCCGAACTGTCCAAAGCGAAAAGAATAATGATCACCATACATGTATATGTGGTTGCTATCAAAATCTATTTCAGATTTGTATAAACCAATCTGTGTTTCAAAATGTAGATTTGCTACCCACTGATGACTGCACAGCTCCATTTCATTTATCTGTCTATCTGTTCATTTATTCTTAAGTTAGGACTCTGGGAGAGTACACATTTAATTTTGTATTCCTGTGTGCACAACACATCTTTACAATTGATAACTCATTTGTAGTTGAATGCACATTAAGCCCCATTTCATTAATCCATCTGCTAATTCTCAAGTTAGAACTATGGGGAGTACACATAAATTTTTGTTTTCCTTTGTGGAGAGCACATCTTGAAAATCTAAGGCCAGCCATACCCCCAATAGGTATTAGGCTAGTAAGAAAGACAGTTCCAAGCTGCTGAAACAACCACCCTGAGTGAGCACTCAAAGAGATGAGAATGACAGAGTGGGTTTTTTGATACAATCAGTGTTCAACACAAACGTCGGTCCGACTGATTTATCGAAGGACTCCTGCTTGCCTATTTCACTCGGGTCCGCCGGGCCTTCGCCTTCTTACTTATCTCGCATAGTTAGTGTCCACATACGACAATTCGGGAAATGCTACAACTGTCATAGAAACGCAACCTCTGAGTTTCCGATAGTTGACGGTTATTGTTTACTTGTCACCGACATGACGGAAGCTGCTGTTTTTCCAAACATTGACTCGCGTAACCAGCCTTTGATTTGTAACTGGTTTTTTTTTATTGTCGGCTTTAGCCGCTTGAACTTTAAACAAACCGATTGGTAAAAACAATGAATCGGCAACTATGGTATCATAAATCAATCTACTTTCGGCTAAATTTAACGGGTTAATTATTACTTTTTGATTAAGTAGTCAATCAACTTGCTTGTTGGCTACAATAACAGTCATACCTCTCGGTATGGATTGCGAATCTCGCTCGGGAATCACGATTACAGGTACCGGTAGATAATAAAATAATAATTGGATCATGCATTTAATGGTTTGGCTGACCAGTTCTTAAAGAAATTTAAATCTTAGTTGAATATAATCCTCAGAACAGTCATTAATAATATATTTTTCCGACAAAATCTTCGATGCCAAATCCACTGATGACACGTGACATCAGTTGGAATTTCTAGGTCAATAAGCCAGCAATGCTAGGTTTAGTTTTAAGTAACGTTTACCGTTATGATTTTTTATTTGATACACATGCTGGCACAGGCTAAATTTTAAACATATTGACGTTATTATTATTGAAAACTATATGGCAGAGTCGTACGAAATTTTATTTTAAAGTAATTTCAATTATGGCTGTTAAGTGATTACTTTGCCGTGTGTCTCTCATGGACGAATGAATAAAAACATATTTGCAAGTTACGTGATAGACAAAAACTACAAATTGTGTTATGAAAAATACCACTGTGCTGTATCATTTTATATCCATCCAAAAAACGAAGACAGTAATTTATTCAGGAATATCACTGAGACGAAAATTTTCCGAACGGTGTAGCTGTAGGCCTACCTATTATTAAAGGTAATGGAAGCTTATAATTTCCTACGGGACCTCATTTGACTCAATTCTGGGCTATTGTGCTAACAATCTAGGGCGGGATAAGCGAGTTTATGCCATTCCTCAACGTTATCGCCAGGCGTCAAGTTTTTTTGTGTAACTGTTTGAAGTTGACCTAGTTTGATGAGAAAAAGCGTAAATTATGTAGCCGTGAATAGATTTGTTCCCATTAAATTGAAATGAAATTAAGTTACTAAACCCTTAGTCCTTCTGTGGTGTACTGGCTTTATATGTACTTCCTTTATTCTGATCGTTGTGCGCTTCGCTGGGAAACTATAAATATTATTATTATTGGTTGGGCCTGCGTGTCACCTGAAGGACCCACATGATCACGTGTCACACGGGTCCTGCGGGCCTGTGCTAGGAAAATGTTTGTTTCGGCACAAGACATGTTGTCATATCATTATCATTGGGTAATTATTCATCTGTTTATTCAGCCATCATCAGTTTGGATTGTTATCAAGGCCATGTACATAATTTATTGACAAAATTTTATTGCAGTTACAGTGAAAATGAGAGTGGAAATCAGGTAGCTGAAGGAAATACATAAAGAGCCTGTGGAGGTAGGATTCTCTGTCAGTGATTCTTTTGAGTCAAATTTTAGTATGGTTGTACAATAAGTATGTGATTTATTAACCCGTTAAGCGTGACGTTTTTAAAACGTTAACTACCTCCTATTGTGTAATTAATTTGACGAAGAACTATGTACTATGTTCTAAGAATAGGTTGGGGAAAATACCTCCAAGGCGTTATATTACGCCCTACACACAGTGAGTGGCAGTTGTCCAGGACGTTATATAATGACCTACGCACGTTAAAACAGGTTAATTGCAGTCATATATTTGAATGTCCGGATACAGCCTGGCATCCTAAATTATCTGAACAAATTTTGTTATTTAATTTTATGGGGTTTCATTAGGAACAAATAGTTCTATTATTAGTATTATATATAGGTATTTGGTTGTCTTCTTGTTTGGCTTGCCTACTGGAGATTTTGTCAGCATGGTGTAATGATAAGAATAATATAATATGGTATTCTTCTTTCCTAACATGACACAACTTAAGTAAATATCACCTTGTCTTGTCATTTATTCAAATATTGTAATACATGTAAATGTAAACTTCATTCTTTTAATTTTTAAGGGCGTTGGCATGTCTAACGTATGGTAACTTCACAATTAACTTTATATTATTTTTCAAACTCTGTTCCACATAAATTTAGTGTGATCGTTAAATAGACATCTGAAGCTGTGATTTAAGTTATAGTTTGGGCACATATTGCACTCAGCTTAAAAATGACCAATTTTCGTCATAAATCTAAAAAGTTCTCAGTCTTGTTTGATCCAAATTAAATAATTTTTGGCATACAATTAGCCAAGCTAGTGTTTAATAAAATTACGAGAGTGCCAATAATAATGCCAAAATTACAGAAAATCAAAAAAATTCATAAGTCGTTATGTAAACTGGTCTGAAATAAAATCTATTTCATATGATCTCCATTAGTCCCATAGAAATGTTCATCCGAATGTAAGCTTCAATTTGATGCCAAGTTTGTTAAAATCGGTTGAGTAGAACTTGTATTTTTTTCATCGTTTTCCTTTCGAATCGTGACGTATTCGTGTAATAAATAATACTTTGTAAAAATTTGTACAAAATATCATGGATTAGCAATGAGTAGACTTTGCCGCTCCTGTCTGTGTAGTTTATGAAAAATAATATGAGATTGTTATCCCACAAAACAAAGAAAACGAATGGAGCCATTTTTTCGTTATTGGCACCTGTCAAAAAGATTGGTTAATCTACTTTCTGTGTATCAGAAATGACCAAAACCAGGCTACAGAAGCATATTTCTATGCAGAAACAAAGAAAGACGAGCTACTATACTTATCGAAACGTTCAAAACAAATTCGGATACTAATTTTAGATCAAACAAGGTCAGGGATTCCCTCCCTTTGACCAACAATTTTGACCTATCCGGCAAAGTGAACGTTTCTTTCTGTTGACGATTTGTGTTTTTAGGGGAAAAGGAGACAAGTACAAAAGTATAACTGAGAAATAGTTCGAAAAGTTAGTGCGAATCTTAGACATGGCAACGCCCTCAAGGAATCATAAGTTCTGCTATTGCAGCCGAAGCCTTAACTAAAGTCAGCAAGACATAACCGATGTTTCGGTGATGCCTCAGTGAAGCTTTGGGGTCGTCGCAAGCCATATGGAACCATCAGGAGGCCTCGAGATAACTGCAAATAATTTCAAAGCTTGTATTGAAAATTTTCCGATGTTTTCCCTGATACTTCAGCAAGACATCGCCTTATTATTTCGGCAATGATCTTAAATGTTACGCCAGGTAAAATTTCGAAATTTCAGTCAGAAGTAATATAATGACTAGGTGGCTTGATTTTTAATCTCGTACAGGTTGAAAACGATTATTAAGTTTAGATATGGCAGAAATAATAACTTATTTCTCCCAAGTGACCATATATGGTGTGTATGGTAGAAATCGGTTAACTGAGGACTTGATACACTCGCTGTCCAAAACACACTTACCGCGGACTTGATACACACAATCATAATTTTCCTATTTCAGATCACACACACAAAAGATACACACTAATTGCAGAAAACCGCCTAATGCGGAACACCTCAGATCAACCTTTAAATCAAATGAGATATTAAATCCGGGGTTCTGAACATCGTTGCCACAGTCCTGGATTTAGTTCAAAAAGTTGAACCGATGACGTCCTCGGTTGACACAGGTCCACGATTAGAAGGTGTGTATTCAGATGTGTGTCCTCGATGTACACCATATACAAACACACAAACACTCAGTTTGAAAACGTATCACGTAGCTCGAGTTAGTTCCTCGGAACTAAGGTAGAAGTTTTTAATGGCTTTTCACACAAAATTAAGCAGTTTTGTCCTCCAAAATATAATAGGAATTTTCCATTTAACTCACCTCCTCTAAATTTTTAGACAACTGATTTTTCTTTTTTACTTCTGTTTTCAAACTTTCTTTTTTACTATCTAAAGCGCTTTGACACAGAGCAAATTCTTTCTGTTTGATCTTTAATTTATTTTCGCATACTTCCATAGCACTGCCTGATGCCTATAATGTAGCAAAGAGAAAAAGAACGGTTTAAGTTTTGTTACAATCATATTAGATAGGTTCATAGGCAACAAAACAAAAAACTACAGCCACCAATAAGCCATCCGAGAAGTTAATAAAGGTTGTTGCATGTTTCAAAGCACTGATCAAGACGAACATCATTAAAGAGCACATAAAATGGCCAAACAAAATTTTATGTACTTATAGCCAGTTGATATAATCCCCTCAAACGCCACCGGCATCACTGACCTAGTGTGCAGTCAGACTCCTCATCAATGCCTGGTGTCGGCATCTTTCAAGTCCTGTTTGGCTGAGCAATAAAATAATAAAAGATAGGTTGGCAGGCAACAAAATTGAAAATCAATAGACGTCTTCGTCTCTTGACCTTTAACACTGTGTATAAATTTCAGGTCAACCGGATATTAACTTTAGCCTCTAGAGTGTCCACAAGATTTTTCAAAGTGATCAAGGGCCATAACTCTGGCAGTAATTATCAGAAATCGCTGAAAATCAATAGGATTTTTTGTCTCATGACCTTAAACACTGTGTATAAATTTAAAGTCAATTGGACTTAAACTTTGCTTGTGGACACCAGTCGGCCGGACAGGGGCGACGACAATATATAACCACATTTCAATGTGGGCATATAAAAAAAACACAATATATAACCACATTTCAATGTGGGCGTATAAAAAAAACTGGAGAATTGTAATGGCTGAAGAAATCTTGGTTTTTATGGCATACGGATATTTATGAGTATACTGACACAGCCAAGGACAAATATGTATTGGTCCAGAGACTGCTATAAAATAGCAGGTATTATGACTAGGGATAGATTTGATAAATTGGACTTAAACTTTGCTTGTGGACACCAGTCGGCCGGACAGGGGCGACGACAATATATAACCACATTTCAATGTGGGCATATAAAAAAAACACAATATATAACCACATTTCAATGTGGGCGTATAAAAAAAACTGGAGAATTGTAATGGCTGAAGAAATCTTGGTTTTTATGGCATACGGATATTTATGAGTATACTGACACAGCCAAGGACAAATATGTATTGGTCCAGAGACTGCTATAAAATAGCAGGTATTATGACTAGGGATAGATTTGATAAAATTTCCGAAATTTTCATGCAAATGACAATTCTAGGAATCCCCCAAAAGGTCACATAAATCATGATAAACTGCATCAAATTAAGCCAATTTTAAATCATGTTTTGGACAATTGTACTGCAAGATACAACCCTCATCAAAATACGTCAGTAGTCACTTAAACCCGTCAGTACTTGCACCGTATGTCACTATTCCTATAAATGAAAATGGTCAGTAATAATCAAAAGGTGAGTATTTAAGTTAATATTTAAGTATTCCTTACTTGTGTCAGTATGTAAAAATAACGCAAGTAATTAAACAAACGTCACTTAATCTGAACATGTCACTAGTCAGTAGCGTGCGGGAGAAATTGAAAAACGCGTGACTAATTAACAAAACGTCACTTGCACCGTATGTCACTATTCCTATAAATGAAAATGGTCAGTAATAATCAAAAGGTGAGTATTTAAGTTAATATTTAAGTATTCCTTACTTGTGTCAGTATGTAAAAATAACGCAAGTAATTAAACAAACGTCACTTAATCTGAACATGTCACTAGTCAGTAGCGTGCGGGAGAAATTGAAAAACGCGTGACTAATTAACAAAACGTCACTATTTAGACTATCATCCACTATCTGGGTAGAACCGCCAGTTGCCTTTGATATGCGTCAGAAACTGCAACCGACGTCAGTAGAGCGTGAAATCATTAAATATAAAGATTCTGGTAAGTTTTTTGATAAGTGATTAGTATCAGTTAAATTGTGACTTTTCCGTTCAATCGTCACTACATCCCTAATTATTATTCATAAATTGTTTATTAATATTCTTGAATAACAGGAATGGATGCCAGTTAACTGCTGTATTGTGTAAAAGATAACTGGACGGGTGTCTCAACCAGAAAAACGACACAATGTGTATTGTTATGCTATTTACAATTTATATTTGACCCCATTTCATGCGGACTGGCACGTGTTTTGATATCAGTATGGATTCAATTTGGAATGACAACTAATCGTTAAGAAGGAACAAAATGCATATATTTTCACTACTTTTATTGAAACTAATATGTAAGCTGAAATTATGAGCACAGAAGACTCGTGTGAATATCTTTTTAACTTTGAGAAATAAGCTTTTATATAGTTGGGTACGAGACCTAAAATCCGTGACCAATTTGCGGGGAAGTTGTTTTGAAGGTGGTTTCTATATGATAAAAACCTGCTGAAACAATTAAGCTTGGGTGCCTCTCTCTAAAATGCTGGCGGAATCCGCTAGGGGGCCAAATTCAAAATGGCTGCCAGATTTGGCGGGAAAATATAAAATTATTTAATTGAGACTTCTGAGTTGTCTATTTGTATGTTTTAGGGGTTTCTGAATCGAAATATCGTAATCAAAAATCCATCCGGCCACTAGTTTTGCCAATATGGCCGAACAATTCAAGATGGCCGCCATTTTTGGCCTGCGAAATAATTTTGTCAACTATATCCAAGTTGTATGTTTTCGAGGTCGAGGTAATCAATTTTGATGAAGTTGTATCCATGTAAGCCAACCAGCAATAAGAGTGAAAGAAATGAAGGTACTCACCGATATTTACCACCTGATATACTCTGTAGTTAATTGATTTTAATTTGATCAACGCTTGATAATGGATCCATGTAATATTTAATCATCATCAACTTGTCCACTTAAAGTCAAGTGTTACTCATCAAAATCACAGTCACTCGATTCAAAAGATGGATCCAGTTCTGATTATCAGATTCAGATTGTTCCTCCTAAGTAATATTTAATCATCATCAACTTGTCCAGTTAAAGTCAAGTGTTACTCATCAAAATCACAGTCACTCGATTCAAAAGATGGATCCAGTTCTGATTATCAGATTCAGATTGTTGAAGTTTTGTCGGAATCTTCATTTGCACTATCATTGCCATGAAGAAGTCACTTATGAGCGATCTGGTAATGCTGGATTCTCATATCCAATTGACACTTACTGTCCAGATTGGAGCAGTTTCCAACCATTACCAAAGGGAGAGTGTATGACCTTAGACCAGTGATGGGATTTCAAAATTTTACTTGTCGGACATTTTACCGAAAATAAAGGGGCATAACTCTTATCGTTATTTAAGCAGACGAATTCGTACCACAATTAAAAGTCACATGTCAAAATATTCAAATCCTGTATGTATTAAAAATAGGTGAACCTCGCTATTTTTCATATTTAATTCCCGTACAGTATTCAATTCATACCACAATTAAAAACCACATGTCAACAAAATATTCAAATCCCGTACGTAATAAAAATTGGTGACCTCGCTATTTTTCACACTTAATTCCCGTACAGCATTCAAATTTATGTCAGTAAATGTCCTACAAAATTAAGCATTTTCGTGATATGTTGAATGAAAGCTTGCCGATCCTGCTTCGGCATCAAATTCACAACCATAATATTCCTTTAGAATTACGTGTCTTCGTTTATACGGCAGCAAATGAATGCAGAACTTACAAAATAGTTAAATCACTTGTAAACAGGCATAGCTAACTTTAGCGAATAACACTCTTTGATAGTCACGACAGAGTGACAGGCATCATAGGCAACACAGCAGAATGATTGACGCCTACAAATACGTAAGAATTTCTGCTCATATAGCTATTGGTAGCCCCTCCCCTTTTTGTTATTTTGCTGGGTGCGTACTAGTCTCGGTCACCCAGAAACTCCTAGTCTTCAACATATTCGTAGAATATTTTTCTGGATAATAGAGACTAATAGCCTACGTGACTCATCACACGGCTTCATAGTAAGCACTGCCTAATAATATGTTAAGCAATATTCGTGCCGCGCTCGAGATCAAGGGAAAGTGCCACTGTGGATGAGAATTTCTATATGGATTCTTAAAAGACGTAAAAGATATCGTAGACAAAATGACTGTCCATTGATTTAGGGTGTTATTTACTCTTACGATATGTGACATCTATGATTAGTTTATTATAGATTATGTCGGCTCACATCAATGCGATTAAGATGCCCGACAAATGAGAAACCATGAGGTTTATAATCATTCTGTTTAAGATTAGATTGATGAATTGTCCGACAAAGGATTAAGTCAGTCAATCAAGGCAGATTAAGTAGTTAAATCAAGGTAGGTTTATACTATAGACGGTATAACACGATAAATACGTTGATCACTTAATTACCTAATAAACCCAGCGTATTATCGACGATAATCTGGTTGAGTGGTAGTTATACACTCAGTAAACTATATTAATTTCGGAATTTTCAACATTATTCACCATGTCTTGATGTCCGATTGGGCATATTCCCGGTCGGACAATTTTGGGCATTTGGAAAAAAGATTCGGACAAGTCCGGAATATACAGGCAAAATCCCATCACTGCCTTAGACTTTGGGTAATTAAGCATTAAATATGCCTGAAAATTAGCTCTGGTTAGTATAAGTTTGTAAGACTGCTCATCAGGTAAATGAAATGAAATGAAATGGAGTTTAACGTCCTACTGTTCTGCTCCTAACCTGGGCTAATGAAGACGGGCATACGCCATACAGTGTGCTATGAGGGAAATTTTGCCCGGACAGCGGTACTACGGCCTACTCTTATATCGAATTCCAACTGCCAAGGGATCTTTTACGTGCACGCCAATGTGTACACTGGACCACGGTTTTTCGTACCATCCGAACGACTAGACAGCTTTCCTTGTCAGCCCCTCCGTCCTGCATCACTGACAAGGGAGAACCACGCCGGAAAATCTGGATGAACTTTCTCGGCCAATGCAGGGATCGAACACCCGACCTCCAGGCTAGCCACGTGATCCCCTCCTCATCAGGTGGTAGCAGAATATTTCTTGGCTCTCGCTTCTGTCAAAAAACTTGCTGAAGCTATTACGCTTGAG